TTTACTATATTCTAAATTTTTCTCTCTATGTTCTAAAGTTTACCCTATATGTTCTAAAGTTTTTCTCTACGTTCTAAAGTTTCTCTCTATATTATGTTCTAAAATTTACAGTTTAATCTATATTTTAAAGTTTATTCTTTATGTTCTAAAGTTTATCTTTTAATTTCTAGAGTAATTCACTATGTTCTAAAGTAATTCACTATGCTCTCAGCAAGTTTAGAACATAAAGTAATTATTCAATATGTTCTAAAGTTTTTCCTCTAAGTTTAAGAGTTTATCTTACATGTTCTAAAGTTTTCCCTGTATGTTTCAAAGTTTACCCTATATGCTCTAAAGTTTATTCTTTAATTCTAAAGTAATTTGTCATGTTCTAAACTATTATTTAACAATTTTAGCATGTTCTAAAGTTTATTTTTTATGTTTTAAAGTTTATCCTGTAGGTTTTAAAGTTATTATTATGTTCTAAGAAAGTTTAGAACATAAAGTATTTCATTATGTTCTAAAGTTTATTCTCTATATTTTAATGTTTACCTTTTAAATTCTAAAGTTTATCCTTTATAAACTAAAGTAATTCACTATGCTTTTTTTTCCAGATTTTTTTTAATTTTTTTTTTAATTTTCTTAAGTTTTTCTATTTGCTTGAATTTTATTTGATTTTAATTTAGGTTGCTTTTTTTGCTACATTTTGTGTTTTTTTATTTTGAAATTAGGTTTTTGCATATACATGGATTTAGATGATGTTGAACCTAATTCTCCTTCTTCTTCTGTTACTCATTCAGGTAATTTTAATTGTTTTTAATGCTTTAATTTCAGTTTACTTACATGTTCTAAAGTTTACTTACATGTTCTAAAGTTTACTTACATGCTCTAAAGTTTTTATTCTATGTTCTAAATTTTTCTAGCTATATTCTAAAGTTTACCTATGGTGTATTTATATGTTCTAAAGTTTTTTCACTTTATTCTAAAGTTAATTGCTTATGTTATAAAGTAATTCACTATGTTCTAAATTTTTTTCACTTTATTCTTGTAGACACCTGATTGTGTTTCCCCAACAAACCAAACACAGTGATGAGTACCTTTCATGTCTTTGCTTATCGAGTTAGGTGAAGCAGGACTTTTTCTTTGTCCTTCCTTTTAGTTCCTTCAATTTTTTGTATCTTTTTGAGGTCCTTCAATGTTTATTTCCAGACGAGGAGGAAATTGAGGCTCATAAAACGAATATCAAAAATGCTAAAGGATCTTATAGGAGCCTTCTACTTGTTTTACTTCATATTTTTTTTCTTCGGCTATTTTTTCTTCATCTATTTTTTCTTCAACTATTTTCCCTTCATCATCGCCACTTGTGCCTACTTCTAGCTTATGCTTAGTGCGTGAGCTATCAATTAACTCTCCATCATTGTTAATAAATGGTGAACAAAAACGATTTAAGACAGTTGGGGTTTTCCCACCATCTCTCTCTACAAAACATCTTCTACATTTGGATGATTCCCCAACGTTTGACATAGTAACAACATCGATCTTGGATATGATTTGCGCCAATGAAGACTCAATGATTGACATTGAAGAACGCATTTCTTTGACATCATTCTCCAAGTTTGACATTAACAACAAGCTGAATTAAAAAACAAAACTACATTTTTAGGTAATGACCAATTTGAATACAGGTAAATGTAAAAATCACAAACAGAGTACAAAATTCACACATCATTACTCCGAATCAAACAGGGTTTGCGAAATAAAAAATACATTTATGTTTAAAAATCACAAGCCTTTAAGAAATAAATAATTTATATACACAAACCCTACTAAAAAATAGAGTTTGTGTATTACGTAACCCTTAGAAATCAATTACTTTTTTATGTTTAAATATCATGTTCTAAATGAAATTGCAAGTATGAATTAGTAATTCTTATTTTTATTTTTTAAAAAAATAAAAAAACAGTTAGGTGATCACACTTACATATGCGTTCTTCACCATGATTGTAGTTCAACAGTACCAACTTCGATCGAAAGACTTATGATTCTACAATTGAACGTGAAAAAAGAAAAATAAGTAAAATTCTATAGATGAACGTGGCAGGATTTGATAAAGAAGAACAATATATAGCTAATAACCAAAAAAAAGGGTGAATAAAAGTTAATTAGGAATATACCAAAATTATCAAAACTAATTTATATGCCCAGGATTTCAAAAATAATTTTTCCAAAATATAATAAGATAATGATCCCATAGATTTTTTTTGCTAAAATGATATGATAAGAATTCCAAAAATCTTTTTTTGTTATATGATTAGCGTAAAATTGTGATTTTAACTAAAAATGAAAACACAATTGTTAGGTAACCATATGAATGCCTTGAGAACGAGCAGATTCCATTAAAAACATAAAACTTAATTTTTTAAGTAATGACCAAAACTAATATTGATGAATGCCTTACACACAAGCAGATTCCAACTACAAATTAAAACTAAATTTTTGAGGTAATGACCTAACTAAATATAGGTAATTACCTAACCACAAACAGATTACAAAAATCACAAATCTCGATTCTGGATCAAACAAGTTTGCAAAAAAAAATAAAAAATTTGAACTCTAAATCACATAGCATACCCTCGTTATCCATTGATTGTTAAAATATTGAAAGATCTGCGTTTTACATCATCATATTACACGCTCCTAAGGCTACTTTCATCCTCAAAACTATCAAACAACATGATTTTTACATTAATCAAAATTATCAATCGAACCCTAAAACGAAATTCGTAATCGAATCATGGAAGCAGATTCTAAACAAAATAAATCCAATCTTTAGATGGAATTTTTGTCGGAATTTTGGTCTGAGTTCCAAATAGTTTATACAAATTAATATCATGAATGAAGAACAATGATGAATTTTTTATTTTCTAAATTTTAATTATAATTTAATTTTTCGAAAATAATTTTAAAAAGATAAAAATAGATTTTAAAAACCTATAATTATACATATATGTATAGTACATTTAGGCTTTCAAAAATAAATCAAAAATATATGTATAGTACACTTATACATATATATATATATATATATATATATATATATATATATATATATATATATATATAAGTGTAATACGAAGTACATTGTAGTATTCTAATTCTGGTAGTTGTTAAAGTGGAGAAGCTAATCTATTAATGATGATTGTAGAAATAAAAAAAAAACAACTTAGACACTAGTAATCAAATAATAGGTCAACATCGAAAAATTAGGTCAATGGTGGAAATTTAGTCATAGATAGTACTTTACAACATTTAACCTTTTATTAGATAGTTTTTTTTTATAACATTTTTAGATTCTCCCAAAATCTGGGTTTTATAAGGTAGTTTCTGACAAAAAAAATTTATTTTATAACATATGTAATTTAGTGATATGTCAAAAATTATGATGCAGATATTAATATTCGATCATATTTCATGCGAATTGAAGGAGACATAACAAGATTTATAAAAAAATTATTCTGAGTGTCATCCACATTTTTTGAAAAGATATTGGCATGCAATATATATTTAATCCTAAAAACATTTTGTACTTTGTTTAGGTAGCCAATAAGCAAACAAGAATGACATCTTATAGGAGAAACACAAACCAAATCAAACCATTTATCAATCCAATCCGTAGATGCTATAAATTGGAAAATACATATTATTAAGAAAAGCTTTCTAGGTTTGTTTGATAGGCCATCAACCTTCAACAACTAAACCATTACAAAGTTACACTAATCTTACAATACATTTGTAAAATCCTTGCAAGACCGTGCCATAATTAACTCGCGGCAGCATCATTAAAATGAACAAGCTAAGAATTACTTGCAAGGAGCTAAGGGAACTCCACAAAGACAATGGTTGTGAATAAAAGAGGACTGATCAAACTTATCGAACGCCCCTCCGGTAGGAATCCGACCGCACAAATGGTTGTAACTCACGTTCAAGAATGATAAATGTGGCAATTCTGCCAACTTGGGTGGAATGCTACCATATATCTTGTTATGATTTAGATTAATACTAGTAAAACCCGAACCAAACTCCAACTTACTCATATTGAAATCCAATAAGTTCCTTGCTAAATTAATTCGAGATATATTGTTAGATTTAAACATAAATGAAAGATCACCAGTAAGTTGGTTACGCGAAAAATCTAACATATATGCTTGCCCGAACGAGTATGGGATAGGACCGGATAAATTATTGTGTGATAAATATATAGAAATGTTACTATTTTCAAAAGAGATGAAACTGTCCGGGATTGGACCGGAGAGTTGGTTCCGGTCCAAGTGTAGGGCGTATAGGTTGGGTAGTAGGGCAAGCCTTGCGGGGATAGAACCCGAAAATTTGTTAAAAGATAGGTCTAAGAATTTCAGCTTCTTAAGTTGGCTCAAATACGAGGGAATCGGACCAGATAAATTATTCCAATCTAAACGGAGATATTTGATGTTTAAGAGATTTGTAATTTCCATCGGAATATTGCCTATAATGTTAGGTTGTTTTCTGATGTGAAGTGTTTTAAGGTATGGTAGGTTACCAATGGCAGATGATATATGGCCCGTAAGCTCACCTTTTGAAAGGGAAAGCTCAATAACTCGATGAGTGGATGGATTACACTTGACACCTTCCCAATCTTTGCAACAATCGGTGTCACCTGACCCCCAATAATGAGAAGCATTGCCAAAGTAATATCGGCTGAATTCCAAGAGCGCCGCCTTATCATTCGCGTTGCATAGGGGTTTAGAGGCGTGAGAAGAGGTAGTTAGGATGGTGTAAAGGAAGAATGTTAGGTAAAGTTGTAGGGTGATCTTGGAGGTCTGCATTTTGGTGTAGAAAGGAATTAATGTTGTAAACTAAGGTATATATTTGAAGTAATTTATAATATATAGGGTAAGTGATAATGTATGAACCAACAAAAAAGAAGGGAATTAAAGGGCAAGAGTGTGATTACTTGTTTTGTAATAGGACTATCTTTCAATGAATGAGAAAAGAAATAGGCTAAATTCAGGATTATTTTAGCCTCTTGCATAAAACATTCATTCTAGAGTCATAGCAACCGTTGTAGTCAGCCAACATATAGCTAGACTAAGTTAAAATTCTAGAATTTGTTTCTCATCACACATTAACATCTTGCAAGGGGGTAACAAAATATCACCAAGACATTCATTATTGCGGACCAAATCAGAAGTGTCAAACCGTATCAACCGTCGGCTAGTAGGGATGCGGCCGCACAGGTTGTTGTTACTCACATCGTTAAACTTCGGCTGCAACAGCCCGAGTCGTTTCGGAAATGATCCATAGATCTCATTGTCAGCTATGTCAAGAGACCTTAATCCCTTGGGCAAGTTTATATTGGTGAAATCAAACTTGAACTTGTTTTGTCTTAGTGAGATTCTTTGAAGAGGTTTATCTCTAGCAAACAAAAATGATGCATCTCCACTAAATTGGTTGTAGGACAAATCTATGATTGTGAAATTCGCTTGGCCCAACGATCTAGGGATAGGACCAGATAATTTGTTGTTCAACAATGTTAGAGAAAGATTAGTCTTGAATGATCCAAAACTCTCTGGGATTGAACCAGTTAGCAAGTTGCTGCAAAATTGCAAATATGTTATGAAGCAAAGGTTAGCAAATAGCAACACTAGTACACCAGTGATATATTGTTAAAATCGTACATTTAAGCAAACTTTGCCAAGTATTCCCTATAAATCTTTGATAACAAATTCAATATTTCCTATGAACATAGGACAAATTAACTACGGAGTGTTTCTTATTTTTGGTGTTTAGAGAGCCACAAGGGCTGATGATGAGAATCGATCCCAAGATCTCTGAAATCGGGAGGAAACTCTAATCACTTGAGCTATCCCTCACTCTATTATATACGAACCGGAGGTATTATATGAACATAAACAATATATACTACCTCTGGTTTGTATTATATGCAACTTTGGAATTTTTTTTTATATTTCACAAATAATACACCAAAGTTGCATATAATACAAACCAGAGGTAGTATTCTTATATGATGGTTTTGCTGTTCTAGTCCTTCATAGTATATACAGATATTTGGTACTTTGTAAGAAGATAATTGCATGTGATAAAGTCTACATTAACGTGCAAGTTTCAATTTTAAGTATGCCTAAGTGTATAATATTCTTCAAAGTATAGGTTTTATATGGAAAAGGTAAAATGTAAATAATGACATTCAATAAAACTTAAAATATAATACGAGTAGAATTTTATAGTATGTGAGGATTATGTATGTATTCTCTCTTCTCAAACTATTGGTTACACTTCTATAGTTCTATTCATGAAAACTAACATTTTTATGTGGGTCATGTGTCTTAATAGAAAAAATCTATAGTGTAACAAACCAAAGAATTAGAACGCCCAAACCCAGAAGAGCCAAAACTAGGCCCAATTTATATGAATTATTGTCTAGGTTTGGGAAACCTATTGATTGATTGACACTTCGTATTTACCATTAATCAATAATAACATAATATTAAAACAGACACCGGGAATGATACGTGTCACTTCTTGGTACTGTTTTTTTCCCTCCAAAACTCCCCTCTTTCATTTTAGGAAAAATCTTTTATTTTTAAAATATTTTTATAATACAACTATAATAGTATATTATTCCTAACCTTATATATTATCTTTATAATAACTGTATTCATTTTTATTTCGTGTTCTATTAACTTAAAATAGTTACACAAGATTTTGAGACCTTTTAATTTAGGGAGAATAAGCTATAATTTAGAAGGTTGAAATATAGCGGAGAGTATAAAATTCCGGAGCCAAAAATACAATATTAACATTTAAATTACCATTATATAGTTGTACAATAGTGGGGTTCAATGAAAAAAAAATTAATAAATATTCTATTCATGGTGTTGATTTGAAATCTTATGAAATAATAATAATTTTTTTTTTGGTGTTCCACCCGGTTCACCCTTTGGCTAATCCGGATTCGGGGCTCAGTTATAAGTAGTTAGGTTCCACTCCCCTCCCAATTGTTGTTGTGGGGGATCGAACATGCGGTCTTCCCTACCAAGTGCAGCCTCAATCACCACTACACCAACAACCAATTGGTAGATTTCTGTAATAATTTTACCTACTTATAACTTTTTTTCCCTCAAAAACTTTATTAACTATTATTAAAAGAGGTCATGCTTATATCGATCATTTTGGACCGATGTCAAGCTATCATTAAAAAAATTTCCCGCCAATATAATATATGATGTCATCTTTAAGTTTTTTAAGAAAAATAATTATTCTACTTAGCTTATTTTTTGGAAGTACATTGTATAGGTTTTTTTTTTTCTTTAACTAAACTAATTCATTAATAAAAAGTCATACGACATCAACATTGATAGTTTTGTTGGATATAGCATGCATCATTAATGTAATATGATGTATATTATATTTAAATACTTTCAACACAACTAATCAAAAATAAATTATTTTTTTCTCAATTGTAGTTTTAAAAAAATTTTGCCTTATTATTTCATCTTTCTTATATGCATTGCATTTGTTTATTCTACATGAGTTGCCTTTTTTTATATTATTTCACAAATTAATTATGGAAAAAAAAATTATTACTATCATGCATCGCACGGGCACTAATCTAGTTTGGTTTACTATTTTATTGTTCCTTGCCTCCTTCTATCCGTTAAAGCTACTTTCATTTAAATGGTAGAAAAGATCGGAAAGATAGGGTTGTTTTAATTAACTTGCTTCTTTTAAAAAAATTACAAAAAAAATGTATAGAGCCATATTTATTCACATACTAGTGTGTCACCCCGATATTGCCCCAAGATGTTAATTTGAGTATTTTTTACAAAAAAAAAAAAAAGTTTAAATTGAATGAATTTTTTAATATTGATAATGTTGAACAGCGAAGAGAATATAAAAAGTTTTATGCGTCTCTTTTGCTTTTAGTTTAAATGTTATTTTTTATTCTAAATTTAAAAATATTTATGTATGGGAATAGAGTCTAAATTATTGCTATTTAAAATACAACACGTGTGATATTCATTTCATGAGCTTAGAAGCATATATAAATTATTTGCTAGTTGATTAATATAAAAAAAAAGTAGATTCTTACAGAGTATATTTTAAAAAGAAATACGGAAACACAATGCCAATAACATGGACCACTACTCCATTACAGGATTTACTGGAAACTAGCATCCACTTGTCCTAGTGAGTAGTGACTCATAAGTCGACTTCAACATTAGTCACGTACTCACGCACCAGCAAAATAATACGAGAAGATTAATAGTACAAGTACTCAAGTAGCTTATTTTTTAAATCATTTCTCAACAGTTTCTTAACACACTTTTTACTTGGATTTTTTTTTAATTTTTTTTTTTTATACTTATTTATGTCAGTGCGTTGAATTCAACTTTAAACATACTCCTTCCGTCCCATAATACTTGACACAGTTATCATTTCCGTCCATCCCAATATACTTGACACGTTACTAAATATGTATAAGGAATATGCCTTGAATCGGTGACCGAGTAGGTACACGATCATGTAGTCCATTGTATACGATCGTGCAATTAGTGTTATTAAGTACTCTTCAATATACATGGCCATGTGGTTCTTGGTACATGGTCGTGTAGTTCCGCTACTACAAGACATGTCACACGGTCGTATGGGTCAAGATACACGGTCGTGTGGTTTTGGTCCGTGTGGTTACTAATTGGGTTTTGGCCCAAATCAGTTTCTTTTTGGAGAGTTCTATATATACCCCTTAGGGTTACTCCTAGCCGAATAAGTTGAGTAGTTATTCAAAATTCTGAAAGTTTTTTGTGTATTTCTCATCTGTGAAATCTGTGAGAGATAATATTAGAAATCTGAGAGACGATCAATCTATTTTCTGTGATTGACTGGTCTCAAATCTGTTCTTAATTTATAATCTGTTTTCCCCAAGATCAATAAAACTATTATTCTCGCCTGTCCGTGGACGTAGCAAACGGATTGTTGGTGAACCACGTAAATCTATGTCTGTTTTATTGTCAATTTTACATTCAATATTTGTTCTTTCTTGCATCTGTTACAGCAAACTGGTATCAGAGCTTAGGTTCGGGGCCTAGGGTTTAATTCTGGTGAGAAAGATGGTTGTTTTGAATGTGAAAATCGACAAATTCACAGGGAGGAATAGTTTTAGTCTATGGCAGATCAAGATGCAGGCTTTGTTGAGGCAACAAGGGTTATGGGCGCCGTTGAAAAAGAAGTCATCGGATCCGGTAACCGCTAAGATGGCACTCTTGAAGGAGAAGGCACACTCAACAATCATGTTGTGTCTGGCAGACAATGTTATCACCGAGGTCGCGGAGGAGGAAACCGCATCAGATCTGTGGTTGAAGTTGGAGAGTCTATACATGACAAAGTCTTTAACCAACAAGTTGCTATTGAAGCAACGTCCGTTCGGTCTGTGAATGTTGGAAGGTACATCCCTTAGAGAACACTTAAATCAATTGAATACTATTCTGTTAGAATTGTGTAATATTGATGTTAAGGTTGAGGATGAGGATGCTGCCTTAATTCTGTTAATGTCTTTGCCAGTGTCATATGAAAACATTATTGTGCAGTCTTGTATTATTGGTAAACAGACAGTGTCTCTAGAGGAGGTTAGATCTGCTCTCCGTACTAGAGAGTTATGTCATAAGGCGTCTGGTACAGGTACAAATGATCAAGTTGTCGGATTAGTAGCCAGTGAAGGTAATGCACAGGGGACTTTGGGGAGAAAATCTAGAAAACCATCTTTTAGGGGTCCTAAACCTAGTGATGTCTGTAATTAATGTAAGGAAAAGAGCCATTGGAAATCCGAATGTCCCAAGAAGATAAGACAACCGGAAAATTATGAGTCTGCAGATATTGCAGATGGAGATCGACACTCGTTCAGAAGAGGATTATGTCCTGATTGCTGATGAACATGCGTACACTCTGATATGTGGGTTCTAGATTCGGGGGCGTCTTATCGTATGTGTTCACGCAGGGAGTGGTTTACGAACTACAAGCAGGTTGATGGCAGTGTTAATATGGCTAACAACGAAGTCTGCAAAACAATTGGTATAGGGTTCATCAGAATTCGAACACATGATGGTAAACTATGTATATTGAACAATGTCAGGCATGTTACATAAGTCACAAGGAATCTAATTTCGCTCAGTCTTCCTCACATAAAAGGTTTCAATTTCAAAGGTGAAGGTGGAGGGTTGTATGTCTACAAGGGTTCAAAAGTAGTTTTGAAAGGTGTTAAACGGGAGACATTATATGTGTTGCAAGGGTCTATGTTATCTTGTTCTGGTATTGTCACATCGTCTGCTTGTGGTAGTGTTGAAAAATAGGTGGAGCATAGAGTCACTCTGGGTGGGGGTGGTGGTCCACGTCCGGGAAAGATCAGTTAACTCTCACAGTCTGAGTCTAAATCTGAAGCACCACAGTCTTTTCCATCGAAATCGGGTTAGCCTAGTTTGGCTCTTAGTCGGCATGTAAACTTTGGGAACTCTCCTTAAAGGAACGGTCGGGAAGACAAGGTGGCTTTTGCACTATCTGTTAGAGAGGTGGATATATCTGAGTCGTCCAAGGGAGGTGTTGCTCCTGCTAGGAAGAAGCATCGGCAAGCCGTCTGTTCGAATCTAGTTCCGCAGTGTAAGTCCGAAGGTTGCTTGGACTTACAAATTATTCGAATCTGTTAGTTGCCCTTTGGGGCAAATCTGGTGCCCGATGGGGAAAATCTGGTTTGGTGCTCAACGGAGCAAATCTGACGCCTAGCGGAGGCAAATTTGAGCAAGGAGAGTTTGTTTCTAGTTATCTGTTTTTCTCTTATATCCGTTTGTTTTCTAGTAGATTTGACGTTGCGTTCAATGCATCTGGTACATGTGTCTATTCTGATACATCTTGAATTGTGATCAATGCGTCTGGTACATATATTTTATTGTGAGGGGATTCAAGTCAAGGTGGAGATTTTGTAAGGAATATACCTTGAATCGGTGACCGAGTAGGTGTACGATCATGCAGTCCATTGTACAAGATCGTGCAGTTAGTGTTATTATGTAGTCTTCAATATAAATGGCCATGTGGTTCTTGGTACATGGTCGTGTAGTTCCGCTACTATAAGACATGTCACACAGTCGTATGAGTCAAGGTACACGGTCGTGTAGTTTTGGTCAGTGTGGTTATTAATTGGGCTTTGGACCAAATCAGTTTCTGTTTTGGAGAGTTCTATATATACCCCATAGGGTTACTCCTAGCCGAATAATAAAAGTTTAGTGGTTATTCAGAATTTTGAAAGTTTTTTGTGTATTTTTCATATGTGAAATCTGTGAGAGATAACATTAGAAATCTGAAAGACAATCAATCTGTTTTCTGTGATCGGTCTCAAATCTGTTATGAATCTGCAATCTCTTTTTCCCAAGATCAATAAAACTATTACTCTCACTTGTCCGTGGATGTAGCCAACACATTGTTGGTGAACCACGTAAATCTATTTTTGTTTTATTGTCAAATTTACATTTAATATTTGTTCTTTCCTGCATCTGTTATAACAATATGAAATGGGACCACTTATAAAAAATATTATCCTATACTTTCTTTGGGACCACACATCCTAAAACCCAATTAAATCTTACATTTTCTCTATCCTCACTACCCCCACTTGCCCCATTTTTTGTTTTCTTACAATATAAAAATACAAAAGAGTATCCTTTATATAATAACCAATTATTTTAAATGGATCCACTTATAGTTTTCTTAAACTACGTGTCCACCTTAACGTCCCAAGTTTTATGGGATGGAGAAAGTATGTTTTATTAAAGAAATCCTTTTACTACTCGTAAAAAAAAAGAACATTATTTTCTCCACCCTTTAAAGATTACACTATATAACTTTTTACGATATTAAAGACACGTTTTAAATATTAATATTTTAAAAGAAATATTATTGAAACGATTCTAACAAAAAACTTCTTACCTTTGTATTTTTTAGTTGACACGTATTCCCTTTTAGAAAATTTTTTGTGCAAAGGAAGTAGCAAAAGAACAAATTTGTAATTGATAATGCTCCAATTTAAAATTTTCATAAAACTTATGAGAATTTAATTTAAGTTGTTAACTAACATACTAACCTGAACAGTGCAAGGCTAGTGATATTTGGGAGGAGCGACAAGGATGATGGTATAGTCCCAGTAAAGTAATTTAGATGGAGACCAAGTAGATGCAAACTCTCGAACTCCGGCCCCCAGAAACTGGGGATCGGCCCGGTGAGATTGTTGCAGCAAAGATGAAGGCACTCAAGCCTAGTGAGCTTGCTCAAACGTAATGGAATCGAGCCAGTCAAGTTATCTTGAAAGTTTAGAGTCAGTTTCCTAAGAAAGGGCAGATCACCTAACATCGGCGGGATTTGGCCTGATATGCAGTTGACAGCGTTTGCTCCGATTCTGAAGACAGTAACACGGCCTGGGTTAGAATCATTGTCATCACATTTGATACCGGACCAAGAACAGCAGTCGGAATCAGGCATCCATGTTGCGAAACAAGAGGCGTTATGGAAGTGATTCTTGATTTGTAGTAGGACTTTTTGATCATTTGGGTGACATATTGAAGGGGATTGTATGGATTTACCCGAGGAGATAAAAAGATAAATGCAAAAACATAGAAGTGAGGTTTTTTTTGGTAGGGTATAATTCATGGTTTTTGATTGTGAAAGTTGAAGATGTGCTAGTGCAAGTAGCATAGATTAAAACAAGAATATAAGTCAATTACGTTCATAGCTAGTTGCATTAACAAATTAATGGTTTTTTTTTTTAGATGTCATGATTGTCATCACTGTCATGTTTGAAAGCACACGCTGGCGTAATATATATAATTCATGGTTCATAGCTAGTTGACTAACAATATATATAATTAAACATTAGTAAAATTTATAAAAATTAAAACTAAAACTTCACAGTAATACCTATTTAATAAAATTTTACATAATAATGCTACTGAAATGGTAGTTAAAGAGATCACAAAGCATCAACACTAAATTCCACACTGGTGTAATTTTTCACATATTTTCACCTTATTCATCAATTTTTTAAATGTAAAACTAGTGTGTGGCCCAGTTATTTAATTTTAAAAAATAATGTTAATAAGAGCACCCACAATGGTGAGCATTATTTTTGCTCATAGGCATTTTGGTGGGCAAGTATGTGAAAAATTGGGTTACAATGGTGGGCTAAGTATTAGTTGCCCATGGGCATGTGTTAAAATGCCCAAGACTTGGGCAGAAATTGGGTTGAACAGTTAGATGGTGGGCCCCACATATTGCTGATTTAAATAAAAAAATTTCGGTGGAGGCAACATCAAAACGATGCGTTTAATGTTGCACCGAAGAAGAAGCGAGATCAAAACGGTGCGTTTTAACCTGGGCTTTCTGAAAAAAAAAAACAGTGGACTGACGCGCGTCAGTCAATGGACGAATGGCTGGAGCGCCACGTGGCAGGTGCAGGAAGCTGACCAATAGGAATATTCTAGCTGTTGCCAACGGTAATAATGTTTGTAATGTAATTTCTGAAATAAATATTTATTTAAAAAAAAAATTACCAACGGTCATAAAATTTAATTATCTATAAATAAACATGCATTTTGGTATAATTTCAGAAATACCATAAATCCTCCATATTCTTTATTTTTCTAAATATTCCGAAATTAGAAGAAGATTTTTGCTGTATTTCACCGTTTTTCAGGTAAATATTAATTTTTTTTTTTTTTTTTTTTTTTTTTTTTTTTTTTTTTTTGCAAAATTCAGTTATTTATTAAAATTAGTATATATGTGATTTTTTTGCAAATTAAAAAATGTAGTTCATGTAATGTAATTGCAATTATATATATAACTGTATTTAGAAAGTTGTTGCTATTTTATTCATACATTAATAAATTTGAAGTTGATTTAATCTGAATTTATTTGCTAATTTTTTGGAAATTGGTTTGTTGTTTTGTATATGTGAAGTAATTTGTTATGCTAAATTATATTTAGATGTTATTTTTGTATAGGTAGTTTATTTCGTTACATTATATTATGTATTATATGTTTTGTTCATATATTGTTGAACGTGAATGTTGTATATTCAATAAATTAAGTGGTATTAGATAATATTTTTTGATTTGTTGTCATTTTAATTTGTTGTTTAAATGTAGTTAGAATTGTTGCAAGTTGTATATTAGTAAATTAAGTGTTGTGAAAGTTAGGTTATGTACAAATGTTCAAAAAATTGCTAAAATAATGTTGTGAATGTCATGTTAGGTTATGTTCAAATGTAAAACTAGTGTGTGGCCCAGCATCAAGAAAGAGGATTGAAAAAGAATCACTCTCTATTATCTTGGAATTGTTGAGGCTATTTCTCTTTATTATTTATTTTTTCCATGCTACATAATTTTCTATTCTTAGTTATTGTTTACTTAAAGATATATTAATTTTTCCCCGAAAAACTAAAAAAGATCTATTAATTTTTGTTCAAATATAGAACATAAGTTACTATTGGGTAAGATTTTAAGAAGTGTGATTTACATCCATGAGTTTTCGTGTCCGAAACATGTGGGATGTGTTTTTTTTTTTTCTCATTAATAATGATATTGTATAATTGTTGCAGTGCCAATGGTGATGTGGCACTATGCTAGTTAAATGATGATGTGACATAATGATAGCATGATTTAACCATTTATGTGGTACATAAACGTTTTTAGGATTGCTTTTAATATATCAACTACTGTGTGACCTGAACGATGCCCCGGGTTACTAGTTTGTACTTCTTTAATTTGATATTTATGTTTGACTGTTTGTATAGCTAGTGAGTGATCCAGGCGCTGTTTTGGGTGTTTTTTTTTTTTTTTACCTTATATGTATTTATTTTTCTAATCTTGTGAAAAATAAATAGAGAAAATAAATTACTTAATAAATGAAAGGAATATATTATGTTATGTGAATTTAAAGCATTAATAAAAGTTGGTCGAGATGTTAAATGTATGACTTTTATGTGTTGGAGGTTACGGGTTCGAATCTAGTTCAAAGCATAATTTATTTTTTGAAATGAAGTGGCTAGCTTACATGGTTCACATGCTTTGGATAGTGACATGATAATATGATATTGTGACATAGTGCATATAATTTGAAAAGTGCCATGTGGCACCGTTCCTTTAAAAGGAACGCCTTTTAACATATAGTATAGATATATATAGATAATGTATAATTTAATTACTTGTGACCATCTCCCTAATAATGTTATAGTGGTCTATTAACAGTGTTAAATGTTTTATATACAAGAATATGATCATATTACTTCCTCCAGTCCATTTTATTTAATTTGCAACATTAGGATGTTAGCATTATTAAGGGCTGAAGATTTGAGCTGCAGATTGTAGCCGTTGTGGACTTGTGGGTAGCCTATTAGTGAGTTTTGGGCCGATATTTAAGGGCGAACAATGTGGTGAATTGTGGGCTTATTTCAAACGAAACTCTAAATAAGGGCTGATGACTTTTGTTTAGTGATTAGATTTTTTATTTTATTTTATTTTATTTTTTAATTTTTTTGTGTCAAAGTAGTTGTTTTGTACTTTTGTTATTTGGTTAATTGTTTTGTATTTGATCCTTGTGGGTGCTGCATATATAACTCGGGTAGTACAAAATCATGTATACTAATTTATCTTCAACCATGATTATCATGATACATTGTAATTAAAGAATATAATTGAGATTTTAAGTAACAATGCAAACCTTCAAATTACGCACAAATGATTAAATCTTATCTTACCCTCAATCTTCTTAGGCATATATTGCAATATGGCTAACAACACAAATACAATTTAGAACTCATTCGAACTACTTAAGAAAATTAGGCTTTAGCTTACTTCCAAACGATAGCTTGTTACAAATCTTAGCTTGTTTAAGTCTTGTAAATTTATTTTCTAGTACAAATCGCCTCATATTTGTATCTCATAAATTACTTGCAAGGAGGTAACGGAGCACCACAGAGACACTTGTTGTGAGAGAAACGAGAGGGGTCAAACTGCTTCAATCGACGGCCAGTAGGGATCCGGCCACACAGCTTGTTGTAGCTCACATCAATGAACTGTAAGGGCAACTGGCCAAATACTTCTAAGATTGTCAAATTTGCGTGGCCTAACGACCGTGGAATGGTTCCTGATTATTTGTTGCCCCACACTTGGAGAGTTAGAGCACTCTTGAATGATCCAAAGCTCTCCGGAATTGTACCAGTTAGCTTGTTTCTGCAAATATTGTTAGATTAATTTAAGAATCAGTAGTGTATTATACTATTATAAAATGATTCATACAATTCAAAATTTGTAAACAAGTATTTTACATATTGAGAAAGTTATGTAATTCTAGATAGTAAGATAATTAGTAATGTCTTAGCCGTGGTACAAAACCTGAGGCTCAACCACGTTTACATCAGTCTTTGTGACTTTATTTAGACTACTGATTATGTAATTCCTTTTTATGTCGTTCCAGTTACAGCAGTCTGTTTTGGGGTTCCATTCTGAGAAGGTTGGTCCATTGTGGAAGTAGTTCTTCATTTGTAAGAGGACTTTTAGGTCATTTGGATTACAAAGTGTAGCAGATTGTGAAGGTTTTAGAAATAAAAAGAAGATACAACAAACTAGAACTGAAATTTTTGGTAGAGCTTCCATTGTTTTGTTGTTCAATAATGGTAGAGATTTTAAGACTGAAGAGGGTAGAGATAGGCTTGCTTTAATTACCAACCTTATCTTGACTATTTATAGTCCGTGTAGACATTAATTAGGTTATTTTTTTCGTTTTTATTTTATGTGCTAGCTTAAATTTTAGTACTCTTAATCCTCAAGGATATTTAATGGAATTGTAATTGTAACTACTACTCATGTTTATTAAATTAACATTTTTGGGTTTTTAGGAAAAAATTGTCAATTACCGTCATTTAAATTTTGTATTTTGCAAATTGCAGGTATTTAAAAACAAATTGCAAATTGCAGTCCAAAAGTACTAATAAATTGTAAATTACCACCCAATTCAATTTTTTCATCGATTTGCATGCCGAAATATGTTCCGTCGAGGTTTTAGCGGGCCTTTTTGTCCTTAAAGATCCAAATTGAGCTCGAAATTAGAAAAAAATATTAACGCAAATACCTCGTTTTCACAACAAAAAATAGTTGCACACAAATGAATACATTTTTTTGGTACGCAAAACGAGACTCTTAGGTTTAATTTTCCCAATTTCGAGCTCAATTCGGACCCTTAAGAACTAAAATATCCCTTAAACTTTTGCGAAACATTTTTCAGCACACAAATCGATAAAAAAATTAATTTAGATGGCAATTTAAAATTTATTAGTACTTTTAGGCTGCAATTTACAATATTTTATTTAAATGGTTGTAATTTGCAATTTGCAAAATACAAACTTTAAATTACTGCAATTGACAAATTTCCTGATTTTTAACTATCATTTATATCGTGAGATTAAGTAATTTTAAAGTAAAAGTAAAAGGTTATCAAAGATATTTGTTTTTCTTTTAGAATTTATCAAAGAGAGAGCAATTTCATAAGGTTATCAGTAATAATTACAGAGTATCATCTAAATCATCACGTATATCTGGCTTATTTACTGAAGTCAAAAGAAAACTATCACTCCGTATTAAATATTCTTTAAATATACTTTGTATTAAGGAAAGGGCGGTGAGATTGTTGTGTGTGGAGCTTTAGTTAGGGTAAGTGACGGGAGAGCTGTAGACAACTAAAGTCAACCCCACTAACAATCTAATTTTTTTTTTTTTAATGACAATCAATCCCAGAATCTCCTAAAATCGGGAAAGAAGATCTAACCACTTGAACTATATATCCTTCACTCTTATATATTTATAATAAATGAATATTAAAACTTTAAAGAATGTACTGTGGCATTTAAAATAATTCACAATTTCATTATTCAAAAAAAAAAATATTCACAATTTCATATTAAAAATTTATTAAAATCATAAAATTATATTTTCAAAATTTGTATTATTTTTTTAATATACATATTTTATCGAGTCTGTTTAGAAGCTTTTTGAGCCAAACTCGAACTCAACTCGAGCCTCATCGAACCAAGCTTTGACCAAACCGAGCAAAGGGTCATATGATATGATATACAAAATATTATGTAGCAGGTGACAAATAACGGATACAAAATACTCCGTACAAGTACAAACTTTAGATACTCTCTTCGTTCTTAAACAATTGACACACTTCCCTTTTTCGATCGTTCATAAATAGTTGACACATTACTTAAAATTGCAAAGACTCACAATTATTTAATTGTTTTCTATCTTACATAATAACTGACTACAAGGGTTATATAAAACTAGCTTAGTTTTGTGCCTCGACCAATGTTCGGGTATTTTTATATTGAATTTTCAGATCCTTTTTTTTTTTTTTTATCTATATGTCAAATTTTGAAACATATCATTGAATAATAATCACTTGACAATCATACTTGTAAAATATAAAAAAAAAAAAAGTATTGTTGCTCATAAAGTTGTGGGTGGTTTAAGGAAAGAGTTTGTGTTGCGTATCTAGTAACTCTGGAAAGTGACGCAAGTAGCATGGCCAAAACAATTAAAAAAAAATCAGTTTGGAGTTACGCCTATTTTTATGTTATTGAAAGATATTACTAGGATAAGTTGTCTTTAATGTCTTTAATTGTACTCATGTTCGACATGCGGTTAATATAACTGCCCATATGTTAGCTAAGTGGGAGATTGATATGAATTTGAAATACTTAATATATAAATAATTTCCCTCGAAAATCTTCAAACTTTAGAGGATCTTGATTTAATTTAAGAAAAAAAAATATGAAGTACAATATAACAATCGGTTGTGAACTTTATATCATTAGTTGATTCAAATAGTTTTAAATGGATCTCATTTTAAATTACCTTTTAAAACAAAATTTCATTATATAAAAATATTACATAACAGACTTATAAGATATATACTGAATTATAATTTAATTTATATAGAGAAAATATTAGAATTTTATTGAAAATAAAACTTTAAACTAACAAATTTATCCTAAAATTCTATACAAATTTTATTAAAAAAAATAACTAAACTAACTTTTTATCTTACAACCAATAATTTTATCCTACATGTCATATTAATAATTAATTATTGCCTACGTGGCAAGACACTTGGCGAAATGTAAACGCCAAGTAATAAAAACAAAACAAAATAGTATTGTCGCTCATAAAGTTGTGGGTGGTATAAGGAAAAAGTTTGAGCTGCGTATTTGTTAACTTTAGAAAGTGACGCAAGTAGCATGGCTAAAGCAATTAAAAGAAATCAGTTTGGAGTTACACCTATTTTCATGTTATTGATAGATATTTCTAGGATAAGTTGTCTTTAATGTCTTTAATTGTACTGATGTTTGACATGCGATTAATACAACTGCCCATATGTTAGCTTAGTGGGACATTGAGATGAATTTGAAATACTTATATACGATTAATTTTCATCAAAAATTCAAAATTTACCAGATCTTGATTTAATTTAATAATATCCGCAATGTCTTTAAGAAAAAATATGAAGTACAATATCACAATTGGTTGTGAACTTTATATTACACTACAAAAATTTGGTCTTTTAGCGACAGTTGAAATCCGTTACTTATTTCTAAAAATCCATCTCTGGACATAGCTAGCTAGGGATATATCGACAGAATCACTCCATTGGTAAAAACCTTGTTGCTAAATGGATTTAGAGACGGAAAAAAAAAAAAAAAAATCTGTCACTATATTTAGCAATGGAAAAACAAAATCCCATCTCTAAATTTAATAACGGAAAAAAAAATCTTTCGCTGATATCAGCAATGAGGAAAAAATTTGTCGCTAAATTTAGCAACGGAAAAAAAAAAAATCCGTCACTCATATCAGCAACGGAAAAAAATAATTTGGCTCTAAAAGTAGCTGATATTCGGTTCGACTTCACTCGGGTCAACCCGACTCGGCTTTGCATGTAAGGCTCCTTGAATCAGCAATCTCAAGAATTGGGATTGGTAGGAGTTGAACTCGTGACCTCAAAGTCACATAGTGAAACTCTTACCAACTAAACCAAATAATATTTGTTAACTTCTACGCACATAATTGATAATAAGTGAAAGAAATATTAGAGACGGAATTTAAAATCCGTCTTTAGTTTAGAAACGGATTTTCAAATCTGTCTCTAGTTTAGAGATGGATTTATTTGAAAATCCGTTGCTCATATCAGCAACAGAAAAAAAAAATCCGTCTATTATTTAGCAATGGAAAAAAAAAATCCGTCTATTATTTAGCAACGGAAAAAAAAATCCGTCTCTAATTTAGCAATGGAAAAAAAATCCGTCTCTAAATTTAGTAACGGAAAAAAAATCCGTTTCTAATTCGGCAACGGAAAAAAAAAATCCGTTTCTAATTTAGAGACGGATTTTTTAATTCCGTCTCTAATTTAGAGACGAATTTTTAATTCCGTCACTAAATTAATTTCGAGACGGATTTTTAAATATAATTCCGTCTCTAATTTAGAAACGGATTGAATTACGTCGTTAGAATTCCATTTCTATATGGACTTTGTTTTTGTAGTGTTAGTTGATTCAAATAATTTTATATGGAACTCATCCCTACACGAAAAGAGCAAATTAGCAACGGTTCAAACCCCCCTAAAGGCAACGGTTTTGAACCGTTGCGTATTTGAGGGTTGCCAAATCCCAAAATAATTGGCAACGGTTCAAAACCGTTGCCAACGCAAGCAATTGGAACCGTTGCCAATTGCTTGAGTTGGCAACGGTTAATCGTTGCCAACTATAATGGCGCCTTTTTTTTTAAAAAAAAAAAAAATGGCAACGGTTAACCGTTGCCATTGACCTGTAATTTTTTTTTTTGGCTGCAATAATAATATATACATATTAAATATTAATTATTATTATAATATTAATATTAATAATAATTATTATTATGATAATAGTAACAATAATTAGTATTATTAATAACAAAACATAATAATAATAATAATCGCAAGAGATGATATTAATTAGAAAAATGTGTCATGTTACCTACAAACAATTTTAATTAGTTATAATAATGTATAGTACATAATTAGTAAGCTAAGACTAGGATTGATGAAGTAGCTAGTTAGTAAACGATAATTACAAATTAAATGTGATGTAGGTCGCCAACAAATTAAACGAATTACATGGAGTTCCTCGCTCGTGTATGGTTGTCCCGTTTGCCCCTTGCAAAACTTAGAATACACAAAACGTGAGTTAGTAGAATGAAGTGAATTAATAATAATTGGGGTTAGTTAGTAGGAATGACCCGAACAAAACTTGGAATAATACACAAAACGTAAGTGAACTCATACTTACTCATAATAATAACATGACATTATTACTTAGTTATATGTGACTAAGCTAAGGAATGAAATTACAAGAAAATAGCAATATGAGGGTTTAGGTCGCATTTTCGATCAAAATAGCCCAAGTAAGGCCATTTTGGCTTCTAGGATGCCTATTTTCTATAATTCTTGTATATTGAAATCATAACTAGTTAAAACATGTCATTATCACTTAGTTATAGGTGACTAATGCTTGAGATTACAAGAAAAGAGCAAGTAAGTGGTTTTGGAACGCAATTTCAACCAAAATGGCTAAAGTAAGGCCATTTTGGCTACTAGGATGCCTATTTTCTATATTTCTTGTCTATTGAACTCATAACTAGTTAAAACATGTCATAATCACTTAGTTATAGGTGCCTGATGCTTGAGATTACAAGAAAAGAGCAAGTAAGTTTTGGAACGCAATTTCAACCAAAATGGCTCAAGTAAGGCCATTTTGGCTACTAGGATGCCTATTTTCTATATTTCTTGTCTATTGAACTCATAACTAGTTAAAACATGTCATAATCACTTAGTTATAGGCGCCTAATGCTGTAGATTACAAGAAAAGAGCAAGTAAGTGGTTTTGGAACG